CTTGGTTGTAAGGCGGTCTTCCTCTTTTGCTACTGCCTTCTACTTTACCAAGCACTGTCTTTTGCAATGATCCAGGTTGTCTCATGATATGTCCAAAATAATGGTAGCCTTCGTTTAGCATTCAGTTTAGCATAATTACTATAATTTAAATATAAATACTTAAGGTGGGGGAGACTGGTGTCCTGTGTGATAGACAACTTCAATGTCTTCATGGTGTTTTGTTTTTTTAAAATGTATAAATTAGATTTTGAACTGATAGCCCTTCAAATACAGGACACCTTAAATTTAATTTATATAATTTATAAAGTAGAATTTATAAAGTGGGATTCTTGGTCACTCTGGCTGTAAAGAATATTTTGCCAGAAATAGAGAAACAATACTTTTTACTGCTTGATTTATCTAGTTCCAGGATCCCATATGGATACCAAAATTCATGGATGCTCCAGTCCCATTAAAGACAATGGTGTAATAAAATGGAGTCCTTTATATACAATGACAATATCAAGGCTTGCTTTTTGTAATTTATATTAGAGAGAGAGAGGAATAAAAAGTCCATGGATATGGAGGGGCAACCATATTTTCACTATCTGACTTAGGCTTTATCTGCACGGTAGAAATAATGCAGTTTGACACTGCTTTAACTCCCACAACTCAATGCTATGGAATCCTGGGATTTGTAGTTTGGTGGGACACTGAAAGAGCTGAAAGAGAAGGCTAAACGTCTCACAAAACTACAAATCCTAGAATTTTATAGCCTTGAGCCATGGTAGTTAAAGCAGTGTCAAACTGTATTATTTCCGCAGTGCAAATACAGCCTTAATCACAATAATGCTTCCTGTAAAGGATATGGTCTGGTTACATATTCTTATTTACCAGTATTCAGGTACAATGGTAGTTGTCAAGTTCTTTGTATTTACACAACATCCTTGCCAAGGCTTGTGTATGTTGTACATGGATCCTCTCTGGCACAGGACCCAGGCCATCATCAGCTGCAAAGACTCCTGTCTCTCGGGGTGGCATTTCGCAGGTGGCAAACTGTGTCTTACAGAGAGGGAAATCACAAATTGGTGTGAAGGGATATGTTAGTCAAAATGCCAGGTGAGCCATACACAGCAAAATGATACGGGATCTGGAGATGGTGCAAAAGCATGGAAGATAAAAGTTTAAGGAGGGTGAGCAAAACTTAAAGAGTTCCCTCCCCAATCCAAAGGCATATGCAAGACTCCAGAGTTCATTTAATGCTGGAGAAGGATTTGCTTGCTGCTTCCATCTTTGACGTGAAAAAGTTATTTCTCTCCAGGTCCTGGAAGGCTTTTAAGCTGAAATCACTAAAGACTGAATCCTGTCAGGAAGTAGTATTATTTTTCCTGCAAATTTTCCTCTATCTGTCCCTTCTTTATCTGGTGTCCCTTTATAATATGACACGGCTTAAAGAAAGAACATTACTGCCTCCCGTTTTGAACTTTGTTTTCTCCCACTTCTCTTAGCACCCGCTAAACCAGGAATGGGAATAATTCACCCCTTGTACATGAAATTGGACTCGAACTCCCAGCATCTTTCACCACCGACTATGCTGGCTAGGACTTAATGGAAATTGCAGTCCAAAATAATCTGGAGGACTGCATGATTCTCACCCTGCTGAAAATCCCAACCAACACTAGATCTTGAAATTTGTCAGCCTTTTGAGTTTGCGTCTTTCAGTCAATATTCCCCCATTCTGAAGCTACTGTGCAATGTTAGCTAGGGTTTGTTTTTTTAAATTAAGTTCTGCCATAAGTACTTGCTATTCCCCAATGCAATAATTGTGTGCATTTTGCTCCTAAACTGGGCTTCTGTTGCCTGGCAGATGGGTTTTAGAGTCCTTATTAGCATCATTGCCAAACGTTAACAGCTATCCAATGGTATGAAAGGGTCAACTTATATTAGTGACCTTATTAGATCCTTTTTGCATTTGTCTCGCAGTTTGAAGCTGAGAAAAGATAGAAGAGCTGACAGCAACTGGGGGAGTTAACTTTTCTCTGTTGCTGACCTGCTTGCACTCTTCTCATTGCTGCTGGGGGGGAGATGGGTCACACTTGTGTCCTTTGATACAGTGGTCCCCCCACATTCGCTGGGGTTAGGGGTGAAGGACCCCCATGAATGTTAAAAAACTGCAAATGCCCCCCACCATTCTTTTTAACTTTGAGGAAACCCGCTCCCCCCCACAGGAATCTCCAGGTCCTCCAGTGCAACTCTATGGTCAACATCTGCCAGAAGTTGAGCATAGAATCATGCTGGAGGACCTACAAATGCCTAGAAAAGTGTTTTCTCTAGGAAATTCTAGGTTTTCCAGCACAACTCTATGGTCAACTTTCAGCAGAATTGTGCTGGAGGGCCTAGAGATTCCTAGAGAGAACATATGAATCAAAACCACAAATAATCAAATCCGCAAAAGTCAAAGCCTCAAATGTGGAAGGCCAACTGTATAACCCTTGAGAGTCCATCTTCCATTTGCCTCAGCCTGGGAGGGAGTTAATTCACCCAGATGCAGGTGCCATATATGTCCAGTGATAAGGATTTGATAGGATTGCCAGCCAAAGGGATACCATGGGTAGGCAACCTTTCCCCTTTAAGGGCCGAGGGACTTCAGCTCCCAGAATCCCAGGAGCTATTGGCCAACATGGGACTATTGCCAACATGGCTGAGGCTTCTGGGAGCTGAAGTCCCTCGGCCCTTAAAGGAGAAAGGTTGCCTACCCCTGGAAGAGTTGGGGCCTAGTTCTGCCATTGGTTGTGAGGGGTGCTGGACTCCGGGGCTTGAGTGCTTCTCTGCTGGGTACCATTTGCTGCATCATTTACCATCAAGAATGCTTATGTCTTTGCAGTAACATGTGCCAGTGTCTGGCACTGGAAAAACTTTGGAGTCCTGGATCCACATCCAGTTCCAGAGCAAGGCACACGTTGAATACATTTCCTCTTCAAATATTTCTGCAGGGATGTGGCTATTGGTTCCCACCAAAAATACACAATCAGAAAGGTTAAAAGATCCCTAATAGGTGTATATATCCCAGAACATGCATGTGTTCATATCTTGCTCTGATAATAAGGTAATGCCCAGTAATAAGGCACAGGGACAGATAGGCAGATGTCTCCTACAATTAAAAATCAGAAGACATTTTACAACTACCGGTATTATTTTTCCCCCTAAAATATTTATTATAAGAAAAAGTAGACCTGGGGAGGGGCATACCGAAGGGCTGCAATTAGAAGACATAATTGTTTGGCCCTCTGGTAAGATGCACTGTAAAAGCTTTTGGTGGAACTCAGTGGCTGTTAGGAGCTTTGATACAAGTAGAGCAGTGAATCTACCCTGGTCTGAACTTAACAGGGTAACCTTTAATAAAACCTGTACACCAAATAGGTTCAGCATCTTGGATCGCTCTTTTAAAATCTGAACAATAAACTAAAATGCATCCACTACCCTACTGTCATGAAAGCCAACAGCTCTCACTAGTACCCAGTGTCCAGAAATGTGCTGCACAAATGGCAAGGTAGGGAGCTGCAGTGGCTCATCAGACAAATGGGATTTTCTCTACTGAAAACACTTAGCAAAGTGCTACACGTACATTTGCATGAATATTTATAGCGTAGGAGAAGGCTGCTAGATCAGACCAAAATCTTACCTAGCCCAGCACACATTAGTCGACAACCATATACCTCTGGGAAACCCACGAGCATGATGCAAAGAATCAATCGCTCTCTCTGATGTTATCCAACACACCTCCTCTGGTCCTGGAGGTATCACATAGTTATTATGGCTACCAACTTCTTAACCTCCTGAAATCTGTCTAGCTCTTTTAATGCTACCTAAGCAAACCCTATGGAATTAATGAGGTGGCCATAAGTTGACAGGCAACATAAAGGCACACATTTTATTTATTTATTTATTTATGGGATTTTCTCCCAAAATGAGATTCAAGGTGGCTACAATGTAGGAATCTTGCAGCAGCCAGTGCCACAGTTCAACCATGTGCAGAAATACTTTCCTTTTTTTGTCCCTCATCACCCAGGATTGAATTTCATGGGCTGATCCCACGAGTCCTTTCATACTACAAAGTTATAGCACTATAATTCCACTTTAACTGCCATGACTGAATAATAATAATAATAATAATAGTAATAATAATTTATTTCTAGCCCGCCCCTCTGCTAGGCAACCAGGGCGGGGTACAACATATTAAAACAGGCAACAGTTAAAAACATTCCCTCAACCCTCTCCTCAACCCCCCCCCTTAAAACTGAATTAAATAAGCAAAGATTAAGATACAATAGTACAATAAAATATAAAACTATACATCCTGTGGAATCCTGGGATGTATAGTTT